GCAGGGCTGGGCTTTTAGGTCAGGTGCTAGATCTTTGCATCATTCGCAGAGTATCAGAGAGTGACTTTCAAAATGCAATCTGAGTGTCCTTCTTAATTGAGTCTGGAATCAAAGAGCCAACCATTTGTGTTAACTTGAGATTTCTTGTTAAATATGCAAGCCTTACTGTCACTGCTCAGGCCACTTCCCTAGTGTGGGTGACGTGCTTTCCCTGTTCTTCTCTTGTGGCGGCTGTACCAAACTGTCTACCAAAGCCAACGGACTTACCCGGACACTTCCTCCTTATTACTGCCGCTTCTTTTTTCTGATTGTACTGATTTTATATTTCATTTAGTTAGCATTGAAAATATACTCTTGCTATTTCATAGAGCCTGTCTTTCCAACTAGATTTGTAAATTTATTAAAGGCAGAGACATATCCTATTTCTTGGATTTCAGCCCCCAGCCCAGGGCACTATATTCAGGAGGGGTCTAGTAAACTTAAGAAAACATGTATATGGGATTCCTGGGTGGCTCAGGGGGTTGAGCATCTGCCTTTGGCTCAGGGCTTGATCCTAGAGTCCCAGGATCGAGTCCTGCATCGGGCTCCCTAGGAGGAAACTGCTTCTCTGCCTGTGTCTCTGCCTCTCTCTCTGTCTCTAATGAATAAATAAGAAATCTTTTTTAAAAAGTATATATTTTATATATATATAAATATATTTTATGTACATAGAATAAAGAAATATATAAATACTCATGTATAAATAAATGCATAAAGTATATATAATATATATTCATATATAAAATACATAAATATTATATATGTGTGTATATATTTATATATAAAGTATCATCATCAGTTATTAATGGTTCTAGTGCTAGTGCTTTCGAGATGTCCGTCCGGCATATGTCAGCTCACATGCTCCTCACAATCACCCCGTGCCATTCCCGTGACTCTCATTCTAAGAAGAGGAAACCAAGGTGGAGGCCATAGAGGACTTTGCAAAGTTATGTGGCCAGTGTGGGCCCAGGCCAGATCTGAACTCAGATTTATCTGCCACATTTCTCCCCTCCTCAGTAATGCTGTCGTGGGAATGAGTTTTCCTTTTGCTGCCCACTGAGAGCGGATCAAGAAGGCCAGCTTGGTAAGGAGATCAAAGACTAGGTCTTCAGGAGCCTCATTACATGTATGGTGGGAAATTTGTATCTTTCTCTGTCTTCTAGTTTTGCAATCTCTAGCAAGGGGGTGGTTATCCCTAACTCACTGGGTGACTGAATAGTTCAGCCCTCCAGTGGGTTCAAGAAGAATGGAGGAAGGGAAAGGACACTGAATGTGGGGGCCAACCTCAGGGGCAGTCCCAGGACTTAGGGCCCTTGGGCACTCCTGAGAATGGTGGTTCCCTGCACAGCGACTCCAGCTGCAGCGTCTGGCTCTTTCTCCTGCTCCTTGTTTCTGGTTCCTTACAGGAGTTGTGGGTGGGCCTCGTACCCTGAACGAGCCTGCAAAGGTCTATCTCTCACCTTATGACACCAGAAAGAGCAGCTCTCTTCTTCACAGCATGCAGAAGCCAAAAATTGCTCATTTATGAACCTACTCACAAGGAAACAATTCACACCGAAGGGGCCTGGGGTTCTTTGACATTCACAGCAAAAACCTTTGCTTTTGCAGGCATCCAAGGAACAAACAGAACAAAGTAAAACACGCGAAACAAAAACCTCACGACACCCTGGATTTGGAAAGAAGTAGATCTAACGTGATTCTTTCCCAATCAATAGTCAATGAGAGACTTTAATTTGTGAACACAATTACCATGATTACTATGACCCCTATGGAGTCATTGCATTTTACTACTCATCCTGGGAACTGGATTTCCATATTTAGGAAGGAAAGTAAATGATATCAGGAATCTTGTGTAGCTGTATAAAACTCTTTCCTGGATATGTAGTGCTTTTCTAAGAACCCTTCCTGACTAAATGATTCAACGTGCTATCAAAACGTTTTACAGATGTATAATTCACCACGCCAATTAAAACAGTGCTAAGTAAAAGGGAACAAAGTTCAGAGGTCCGCCGTTTCTATCAGAGGTGCCCCTACCCCACATGTGTCCTCTTGGAGCTCCCATGATGGCTGAGATTCTCACGTTTGAACCGTTCTCCCCATTAGAGCGATTTATTTGGGTTAAGGCATTGTCTCTAGAAGGAACTTATTAAAAATACAGGTTACTTGGGCCTACTAACACAATTCCCACAATAACCATTATTCTAGCTGCATGAATTACTTTATCAGATTAATTAGCTGTCACCTATCAGACAATATGGCTCTGAGGAAATAAGGCATATTTTAATGGACATCATTGTCTGAAAAATATGAAGCAGTTCTAGAAGAGACAGCCCTGCTTGGGGGCCCTATGCTGGGGGTCTGGGAGGCTAGAAGACAGAAAGACACTGATTAAGAAGGGGGAGCAGAGGAGAGGTAAGTGAGAGGAACATCAAAATCGAGCCTCTATTCCCTTTAGGTTTGCTTCTGAGCACCACATTCTTGATTTCTGTTTAAATGTTTTTAACATCAAGTGGCCAGGCCTCCAAAATATAGGTCCTAGTGGTACCAAAATTAGAAATGAAGTGATTCTCATGCCCATCCCTTCTGACAATGGTCACCCATAACTGGTTCTCCTCTCCTTCCTGGGCTCACAGATCAGCAGCACTTGCAGCCCTCTGTGTCCAGATGGACTCATGTCACCGACCGTGGGACCCCAGAAAGTGGGTGGCCATTAGACATATCACGTGGACTTCTCTCTTTCTCTCTTTCCTCCCCTGAGTGGCTGAAAGGCAATAGCTAGAAGGCCCAAGAGAGAGGCAAGAAGCCCCGGGGCAGTAGAAGCCTGGATCTCTGGATCACCACTTGGAGAAGAACAAACAACCCAGGGGTGCGTTGAACCGGGAGCACCTACCTTAGGGATCTGCCATTAGTGAGAAATAAAACTTGATTGTGTGAAGACATTGAGATCTGGGTGTCTTTTATTATGTCACATCACAGAGTCTTATTTACTGTGATTGCTATAACTTACCATCTCTATTGATATTTGTTATCACAAGATTGCAGGATATTTAAATCTCTTGAGCAAAAAGGGCCTTTAAAGTGATATTAAAAATAATATCATGCATATTAGCAACTCCAATTTGCTAAGGACTTTCTATCAGGCACTAAGTGCTTTGCATTCTTATTTAATCCTTGTAACAATCTTTTGAGGTGGATTGATTATGCCCATTTTACAGATGTGAAATGGACTTAGGAAGCCTATTAAAGAGCTTGCTTTAGGTCATGCTAGCGAGTGGCAGTGTCACTGTGACGGTGGGCTGAGTCGTTCAGTGCTTGCACCGAACTCTTGGCCAGTGTGTGATTCTATAGTTACTCAGGGGAAACAGGATTAGACCACGGAATGACACGGCAAGGTCACACCAAGAACTGCGGAAAAGTCTTGGCCTTAAAGAGGAAAAAATGGATCCTATCTCTGCCCACAAAGGAGTGGCAAGAACATTTCCTTTATCTCCATTTCACACCTCAAAAATATTGAACTGATTTTCTGTAATTTCCCTTTTCTGCCCTCCATTGAAAGACTTGATTACACCCCAGTTTCTGCAAAGGGAAAATTCTTGCTGCTGAGTTATAAATTTTGCAGATGAGGACATTCTAACTAGGTTTCAACCATGGGACATTTATCCCTCCATTGATACTTGCGTGTAACTCCATCAGGGGAATGGTTTTTGTAGAGGAAACAACATTCTGTTTCTATAGAGGCAAAACAGGGGAAAAGGTGGGCACGGTGTGTGGTAGAGACGTAGCTGGAAGGGAGAGGAAAAAAAAAGAATAAAGCCAAGGCAATATAGTTTATTGGCTGTTCTTATGGCTAGGGAATGCGGAATTTCAAGTTTTCTTTTTTAAGCAGAGAAGGCAGGGTTTTGCCTGACTGATCCTTATCATGATTGTTGCCATTTGAATTCAACAAGAGAATGCACATGGATGGGCCTTCATGAACGTGTCGCGTGTCACACACAAAAGGCGTGATGATTGTAGAGTTTATTGCTAGAAAATCTGCATATGGTTCATATGGTGCTGGCCCCAGAAGGCCCCCAGGAGCCCACACATGATCAGATGGGAGAAAGTAGAGTCTATGGTGGTTTATTTTTTTAAATTATTTTTTAAAAGATTTTATTTATTCATGAGAAACAGAGGCAGAGGGAGAAGCAGGCTCCTCACAGGGAGCCCGATGCAGGACTCGAGCCCAGAACCCCGGGATCACGCCCTGAAACAAAGACAGACGCTCGACCGCTGAGCCACCCAGGTGACCCACCTCCATGGTGGGTTAGAACACAGGCTATGGAGGCAGAGACTGGGCTGCTTCTGCCATTTGTCCCTTGTCTAGCTGTACAATAATAGCTTGGTCAGTTACTCCATCTTTCTAAGCGCCGGATTCCTCCTTCATAAAATGGGGCTAATGCGATCTCCCCTGTTGTGTTTTGAGAACGACGCAGGATAACACATACAAGCTTTGTGAGGGCGATGGTGACGATGACTCAGACTCAAGAGACAAGAGACAGGCCAGCCAATAACAAGAGCACGTTGGCTTATCTGCTTTTGTGATAGATGTCAGCATCAGTTTTACAGATTGGAAGGATAAAAACAAAATCAGAGTAGAAGGAATCCCAGAGAGACTTGGCCGGGCAAGGACACAGACAGCGGGTACATGCGACACCCCGTAGGAGTTGGGACTCGCATAGTGGGGATGGTAGAAGGAAACCACAGGTGAATCCACTGCCTGATGCATGAGCCTCTTTGAGATCTTGTCCAGGTCAGCTGAGGGGCTAAGGAGGGGCTGGAGCACCTGACCTTGTCCTTTGGGCCAATCCATCATGTTCCAGTCATTTGAGGTCCATCCTATGGTGGGGACGGATCGTAGTCGTTAGAGCTCAGAAAACAAAGGTTCCATGTGGTTTATTCTGGAATTTGTCTTCTCCTTTCAGTGTTCTACAGGTTTCCCACTGGCCTACTAAAGAATATCACTTCTCTGAGGAACAGAATGCTCTGCCCTGATACTAAAAGTAAGATGTTTGTTTTTGAAGCAACATAGATTCAAATAGCGGTAACAATTCTTGGTGGAAAATAAAAGCATCTTTATATTTATTTGAGTAAACAGAAAAATAGCACAATTGCAATGATTTCCCACCTGCCAAACAAAACTGTTTCCTTTTGTAAGCCGTGTTCCATATCCAAGGGTGGTCAAAGCACACGGCTGCACAAAGGGAATTGTGATGTATGCAGCCAGCGTGAGCCGCTGCGCCTGCCGACAGGGGTTCACCTCACTCCATTATGTTCCTCCTCCGCCAAAAGAGCCGTGGAGCATCTGCTGGACGGACAGGCCTGGCTGCTGGGCAAAGGCCGGCCGCTCTCTTCACCAACCGTGGTCTTCCCTGGGAGTCCACTTGTGGGGATTCGCGCCTGTTGAGTTAGGCCTCGAGTCGAAGCAAAACTTGAGGGAAGCTGTCATGGAGCCCAGGCTAAACCAGAGGGATTTCCTGCAGGTTCCTTTTCAGTCAGACAGCTCTTGTCCTGGGGAGGAACTGGGGTTTTTCCACCTCAAGGGTGAGCTCGTGTCTTGGGAGGCCGGAGCCAGGACATGTAGCCTTCCCTCTCTTCCTCGTGGCTCCCTCGGTGGCCCTGGCTGGGCTGACCCCCCAGCGCTCCTCAGGAGCAACCCGGCAGGACTCTGGAGGACATGCAGTTTGTACCCTCACACTTGTATGAGTTTCACTCAATTCCTAGGGCTTTCCAGGCCTGATCCCGAGGCTTCTGGCTGGTCCCTGACTCCCTGGGTCCTCCACTATGACAGTAACAGTAGGTCCAGTAACCTTACTTTAAAAATAAAAAACAATTTTTTTACAGTGGCTATGGTAACAATCACAATGACCATTTTTTGGCTCTTTATTACGTGCCCAACCTTATGGTAAGGACCTTAGTCACATCGTCCTGTGCGACTTCCCTCAACAACTGTACGAAGCAGCTCTAGGTGCGTAGTAGATACCGTTGGTGGCCCTCTCCCTCCTGGCCTACCCAGGGAGGTCTCCTGTAGGCGGGTTGCTCTCCTGCATGACAGCTGTGTCCCTCTGTCTGGGTGTGCTCCGGCCTCATGGGAAGATGCTCAGCCCAGTGAGGGGATAGTCTGGAAGTACCCATGTGTCACTGGCCCAGCTGTGACCCTCAACCTTTGAGGTATGGGAGTTCCCACATCAGTCCCCCGACTTCCTCTCCCCTTGGAGGGGCAATGCTGAGGCAGGTTCTCACAGTCTCGAGGAGCATCCTCCAAGGGGCGGAAAGTACCTGGCTGCAGGGGGAAGCCCTCCCTGAAGCTACTTCTTCCTCACACTTCCCCATTCCCTTGTAGTGCTCCCTGGGATTATCATCCACACTTGCTCGGACCCTTGACTCCAGATCTGCCTTTGAGGGGATCCGAGGCAAGCTACTGCACAGTTGTTCTCGCTTAACACAAGAGACACGCAGGCTTACTGGGATTGGCTTGCTTGCTGAAGGGCTGGCTGCTGGTTGGTCAGGCGGGACTTGAACCAGGACTGTCTCCTCTCTTACATGCTTCTGCTTCCATCAGAAATGGTCCAGGTCTATTTTCTCTAATTAATCAATGTAATTAATATGTAGCTTCTTTCCAAAAACGGACTCCAGTATATAAAACATAACCTATACTCCTTCTACCAAAATATATTTACCTCATGTTTTGTTCCTTCGAGACTCAGGATTCAGCTAACAATATAATTAGAGATAAATTGAAGAAGTTAATTAATATTGCAATGCTATTGTCCACAAGTGGCTAAATGTAGGATACCTCTAGAGGTATTGACACTTTACAGGGGACTTTTGAGATTGCAATGTTGTAACTTCAAGAGAGGACCCTCTGTTAGTGGAATTTCTGGTGTCTGGTGGTCCAGGAGACATTGTCTTCACGTTCGGTGGGCAATGGGACTTTCCCCACACCCCTTAGCCCTTTGCTTGTCGGGCCTGCTAATGTCAATGCCCTAATCATCAACAAGATTCCTCTTGAATTGGAAGGCAGAGTTCAACGGTGAAGGTGCCCTAGCCTGGCTCCTTCTGAGCAGCAACAAAGACACACAACCCTCCTCTCCTTAAGTCCCATCTCACCAGGGGACACAGAAGACCTGTTTGCCTGTGTTGGTTGGTTCCTGGGCCTGTGAGAGGAAGATAACACTTGCTCCAACTTGCTTTTCAGTGGGTGATGTGAAGATAAATGCGAGAATGTCTACAAAGTCCTCCAAATTCTTGGGATGAAAGGCGCTATGTAAATAGAACACAGTTTTACCATGATTAAACTTTAATGCAGCAGCTCTCAGGCCCATAAAGGGAGCACAGCCTGGCTGGGAGGCGGGACTGCAAGGCTCCCCCCTGTCATCATTGCCCCCGTGAGCTCGCCTGCCGTCGGGCAGCCACGTCTTAGAAGTGCCCATCCTTTCTGCTCGTTCAATTTGGTTTTTATTTTCAAGAGGCCAGTTATGCAGTTATGTTTCTGCCCTTCACATTCTTCAGATTTGGGGTCACGTTTTAGAAAGCACATACGTACAAGCATACTTGGGTCACCTAATAGATGACCCGACTCCTGCAACAGCCTGGGGGCCAGATCAGTAACTAGACATTTAGATATAAATTTTCCTCTGAAGACAATATTCTTGACCCTCTGCATGTTTGTCGGTGGCCTGACATACACTGGAGCATCTCCCATTTTCAAAACAACAAGCTATATAGTTTTCCTTTTTGTGACAGAATTGGAACTACGGGATTTCTCGGCAAAAGCAAAACAAAACAACCATAGAAAAACACCACCTTTTCCCTCTCAAATTAATTCTTTCACTTTATGCTCCTGACTCCATAAAAATGTGGTTTAGCTTTTGAAGTTTTTATTAATATTTATAATGCCCGTTTGGTGCCCTTGAACCTCACAGAAACAGAGCCCTGATATTAATACCTACCTTCTAGGTGTAGTATACCCAAGCCCAACCATAAACTTTAATGTTTATACATATATATATTTGGCTTTGCTTTGTTTCTCCTGTCTCTGTAGAAAAATTTTTTAAAAATACTTTTTAAGATGCAAATTTTAATAGCTTATATTTTATTTTCAAAAGTAATGCATGCTTGTAAAAAAAAATACAGATGTGCATAGAGAAACAAAGGAGAAAAATCCCCCTTTCCGGATCCATTTATAAAATCCCGATAGCAAGAAGTAAATAAGGTAGTTTAAATACTTTGTAAATTAGAGTTCTCTTAGTTTGAGAGACTGAAATTGTCTTAAGCTGGTAACCAGTCATATTTCTCTCTTTTGCTTCAGAATAGAAATGGAAAAAAATTGTAGAGTTTCAAAAAATGCAGTGAACTATAAGAAATTAAAATCTCCCATTAAATCCATTACCCCCAAATAACAAAGTTTTAGACTTTTAGTGTATTTCTTGCAGGATTTTCCACTGCAAATAGGAATAAACAATGGGGGCAGCCCAGTTGGCTCAGTGGTTTAGGGCCACCTTCGGCCTTCACCCAGGGCGTGATCCTGGGGACCTGGGATCAAGTCCCAGATTGGGCTCCCTGCATGGAACCTGCTTCTCCTTCTGCCTGTGTCTCTGCCTCTCTCTCTGTGTGTGTCTCTCATGAATAAATAAATAAAATCTTAAAAAAAAAAGGAATTAACAATAGTACTCCATTCCCCTAACAATTTTGTGATGTCAAGGAACAGTCTCCAAAAGAATCATATTTTTTTTTTAAAGAGAATTTTTTTAAAAGTTTTTATTTACTTATGATAGTCACACAGATAGAGAGAGAGAGACAGAGACACAGGCAGAGGGAGAAGCAGGCTCCATGCACCGGGAGCCCGACGTGGGATTCGATCCCGGGTCTCCAGGATCGTGCCCTGGGCCAAAGGCAGGCGCTAAACTGCTGCGCCACCCAGGGATCCCAAGAATCATATTTTTGAATGGCTCTCACAAATATTCTTTTGCAATCACTTCATCTTAGATTGTTTCCAAATAGTAAGATGAGGTGAGGTGGGGACTGCTTATCACTCATGTCACGTGTCCATGGTTCGGGTGGGGTGGGGGGGCTGCCCCTCCGCTGACCAGAGGGAGACATGTAGGTAGAACACTTGCTTGGCCACCTCTTTGGATCCCAAGGTGGAGTGATTTTCCTGGCAGGTGACACAAAGGTGTCAACTCAGTCATTCTCTGAGACTATCCTATGAAGTCCCACGACTGGACGTTCACTCCTTCCTCTCCTTAGGACCCCTGATCTCCAGGATTCAGCCAACTTCTGTTTCTCTTACTGTCTAAATAAGACTCATTCATTTGGGCATGTTTTTGCCGAATGTTGAATTAAACAGGGGTGTTTAATTCTGAAGGAAAAGTGGTAGGCTTCTGGCCACAGGTTGAGCTGCTTTGCTAATCTGGTTTAATCAACCATTAGGATTACATATGGGTGCTCATCTGTTGGATTCTTGTGTTTGTCTCTCACCGCATTCCAAACACTAATGGGGAGAGACAGTGAATTGAGAGAAAAAGTGTAATTGATTATACCCCTAAACCCCAAATAATATTACTATATGTAACATTTACTTAGTATTGACTCTGTGCCAGGCTGCATGTTCTCATGTAACTTCCAACAACCCTGTGAGATGGCGTTATGATTATTTCCATTTTATGGATGGTAGAGGCATGGTGACACCTCCCCGCCAGCTGAGGTTTGCTTCCATCCACTTAATCACTTTATTGTCTCACTTTTCATCTATTCTGTATCATAATTAACATGTGAACTTTTTTATATATAAATTGTAGCTTGAGCTTGTAAACTACCCAAATGCTGTCTCTCATTATTGAATATGTCTGTCAGTACTTTTATACTTTTATAATATTTTATTATATTTATTGAATTTCTTTTAATACTATTTACAGTGACTTTTTTGGTGAACAGACTTCTATTTTTATGCAGCTAAATCTATTCTTATTTTCCCTCATGACTTTTCC